CCCCAAAACCCCAAAACCCCAAAACCCCTTCGTTTAAAAATAATCAAAATAGAGTCAGGAAATTTAAAAGTATAAATATTTAATTTAGCATACCTTTCTAATATTTTACTAAAGTTTCATTACATTCTGCTGTCTTGCTACGGCATAAAGTTGAACTGATTGATTGAAGATGTGCTTGACAAAGGAGTAAATTACAATCCATTATAACTGTTGAAAGCCTAGTTCTATTAGCTACTATTAGGTTATCCAAATCTCGATGGCTATAGATTGGAATTCCCATTTGTATTAGAATTTAATGGACTAGGAAAGAAGCATTGATTGACTGAAGGAGAAGGCATCATACCAGAAAACTGATTTTATTGGTGATGCATGCTTTATGTCGGAGTCTGAATCGAATTGGTTTCAGGGTTATTTAGCATTTGAATGTGATCATTCTTCCAAGTGAAGACTTTTGGTGAAGCTTACTAGTTTTGTCCTTTAGGATAGCTAGAAGAAATAGGTGTAAAGCCTGACTATCCTCCAGTCCCTTAATTTCTCTGCAAAGCTCCTGGCTATAGGAACTGATTTTAACTCATTAGAAATTAGTTTGGAGTGAAGCTTGTCATTATGTTTTGCATTGGATTTTAACTTGAGTTGGTACTCTATTGTTAGAGTTACTATTATTATTATTATTGTTATTAATGGAGTTATTACTACTGAGCCATATTCATATGAAGCTGATTAATTTAATGACCTATACTTGATATCTATTACTATGGAGAAAAACCAGAATATATATGATTTGATACATTCCCAAACATTTAGTTAGGGGTAGGCTAAAGGCTTTGAAATTGGAAAGCACTTGGTGACATTCCATTTAGTAAGTGTTGTGTGTTTAAAGGTGTAGGTTTTATTGGTACAACTTTCCCAGGGGAAGTATTTAATGATTTTACTCTGATCGGAGTTGGTCTATCAAATCCTTAGTCTTTTTCATTTTTAATTTCACTCTGGTTTAGCCCTGGTATCTGAGAAAGATTGATATCATTTAGATTAAGATTTTGAATATTAATCTTCTTTTTTCCCATAGCTTCTCTGCCCTTTGTAACTTCAACTTTGCTTGCTTAGGTCTCAATTTCTGTTTTACTAAAAGTCATATCAGACTTAATCTAATGCATTTCAAGGCTAGAATCCATTTCAGACATTTAAAGTTTTTACTAAAAGGATTAAACTATTGGAATAACTTACTCTTTTTAAAGGGCTAACTTTACTAAGTTCATCTTAGTCTGTATCACATTTCATACTTCTAGGACCCTTTTTAGGATTGTTTATTCTGACAAGGGTTCCTAAATATACAGGCTCTTATTTCACATCTCTATTTTCTATTGAGAATGAACTTGCTCCAGCCATAGGAATATGGCTCTCATTGTTAGCATAGCTGCTAATACTATGAGCAGAACATGAACTCATCTTGGCATCATTATCTTAATGCCTCATGCTATTCGCAGATTTTATATCGATTTTCAGAGATTATTTTGGCATTAAGGACATTTCTGATACTCTGCAACTAGAATCTGGTTCTTTTAGCTCTTCATCTGATTCATTATCAATATCTCTTCTCTCAAGATGTCTTATCTCAATAGGATCATTAGGATTATAGTTGTGTGGTGGTCTTATTCTTCCTTCTTAATGCTTTTTAATATGATCATTCAAATGTCCTTGAGTAGAAAAGGATTTCAAGCACCAAGGTATGTAACAGTGATAAGGCTTTTCTCCAGTATGAATTCTAAGATGGGTTTTGAGATTTCCTTTCTCATAAAATGCCCTTTGACATTCTTTGTAAGGACAGACATATTCTTTTTGTCCCAAGTGAGTCTTTAAATGAACCTCTAATCTCTACATTCTACTATAGGACTTATTGCATCCTTCGAATGAGCAAGCAAATTATTTTATATCCAGATGAGTCTCCAAGTGATTATTCAAATGGCCTTTAGTCATGAATGATTTTTCACAGTTGTCATAGTGGCAAGGGAACGGCCTTTTCGAAGACTATTATACATTAATTAAATAGAGATTTTACATGAATTCTCTCATGAGCAATAAGTAGCTAGACTGTGAAAAAGCTTTTGCGGCATTTTTCAAAGAAACATTTATATTTTTTATTTGAGACACTATCATGGATTATATCCTCTTAATTCTTCTCAAGTAGTTGCTTGATATCTTCATATGATTCAGGATTACGAAACTTTTCTTTGCCAATTTGAGTTTGACTCAATTCCTTGAAATGAGGATTGATAATTGTGACTATGCACTTTGTGTTCTAGTATTGCTTGAGTTACTCTAGATCTAGGTGATTTACTGTGTTCATATCCTATTCTTTAAATAACTCAATTTTATATTCACAGTTTACGTTCAATAAGTCTTTTATCTAGTAAATTTTTAATGGAAATGAAAAAATGGGCATACTTTTTTGTGAAAAAACTCTTAATCTTGTTCTAACTCAGAGTATTAGAACTCAATCTTTTTAAAATTCTCTAAATCCAGGGTACATTGAAATGCAAACATTTATTTAATATTAAATTTGTATAATTTTATAAGAGATAATCAGTCAAATTTAATTTTATAAGCTCTTTCTCTAGATTCTATATATTCTTTGAGTACGGGGTTTTGGGGTTTTGGGG